CTACACTAACTTGCTATTGAGTTCGTCATTACGAGTTTGACTAACATATCTTAAATTCTAAGACGTGATAAATTGCTAAGTTGATTCAAGTATAACAGATACCTGTAGGACTTAGAAAATTCCTAAAGTCAAAAACTCCAACGTGTAGAAACAGCTGCCGCAGCCTTTCAACTTAGACGTTAAGATAAACAAAAATGAACCCGGTGACAATATTCATCAATACTAGACTTTATATAATCTAAGCAATGCAAGCACTTGAATCTGTTTAGGCTAAAGCATATATTATGATATGCGTGACCACATGATAATACTCAACCTGTTTCTTCATTAAATGTAATATTAGTAATAAGACAATTAGAAGAATAATAACCAATCAAGTTAGACTTATTAAAAGAATTATATCCTATAGATAAATGACAAAGCTATGTATTCTCCATCTTTATTGTTGAAATAGAAAAACTGATTTTGACATCAGTTTTTCTCTTTTTTGATGAACCTTTCATAGTAACCTGTAACAGAATTAAAATTACATCTTTTCATGATTAATACGAGTATAAATATCTGAAAAACAATCTAAAAGAAAGCATGCAATTTTTCATGTTAATGTTGCAATATCCCGTGAAGAATACTGGTATACTGTCCAAGTTGAGATGTAAACGAAATATTCTTTAAATCTATTATCATTCAATCGCAAATAATTAATGTATTGTGCTTCTTTTATTATTTGACTTGCTGTAAGATATTTTTCTGTATTACATCACAAAAGACTGTGAAAGATTTCAACAGGAGAATCAGAGAATTTTGGTAATTCTGCTTTCATTGTTTTCAAAATTTAGTGATCTTTCGATTGCCAGTAAAAAATATCATTAAAGATGCTTTAGTATAGTTTTTACGATTAAATTTAAGAAAAATAATCCAAACCTGAAAACATGATTCAATATAAGAGTTAAAATCACCAATACGAAAAAATAAAGCATAAATATCAAGAACTAGCAGAATTATATTGTCTAATAGATCCTTAAGTGTAATATATTCTGCATTTTTACATACGTGACCAAATTTTACTTTAACTATTAACGTGATTTTCTATTATGCATTACGTGAAAGTTCTAATAATAAGTTTATATGCCATAGCTTTAGCTTCTGAGCAAGCAGTTTTCGTTCGCCAAATATATATTTGTACATTGCAGAAAAGAATAATTGGTATTTGAGAAAGACTAACTCACAGCTATTTAAGAAAACATGCAAAGGATCCATTATCAGAAGGTAAGATAAAATCTCATCTGTAATCCCAGAAGAATTACCATGAACAAGATATCAGAATATAGCTATTCTCATGTAAATTTGACCAGATTAATCAGTTACAATCAGAATAACATTGCTTGCTTTAATATACCTATCAATTGTAGGAATAGAAGTGACTGCATTAGTAGCATTAATGTAAGATTGTACCGAATGAAGATCATTTTCTAAAAGGTCTACAAGCAGCATATCTTTTATTAATCAGGCATTTCTCTTTTCTTTTAAACGAATATTATAACTATAGACTGTTAGTTCTTCGAGTTTTGTTTTGTTATTCATAGAACGGAATCCCCAATACTAGTTATAAAAGAATAAATATAGTGATATCAAATAGTTATCAACACTGGTTTTGATTAATAAAGCATCAACCAATGCAGGATTATGAATATCTCACTTTGGTATTACCAGTTCATTTTTTATCAGATTAAGTAAAACAGTAGTGAGATGTGCTGCAGTTGATGTTATAACTATGTTAGGTATTCTTTTAGTATGAATGCTATAATAATCGTCAATATTTAAAATCATAGCATTATTTGCATTTTCTGAAAGCTTTGATTTCACAGTCATTGGTTGTTTTTTAAATACAGCATAATTATGATAAGAAATAGTATAAGATGTCATTGATAAATCTAGTATCGCCAGAGTATCAATTGTTAAATTAGGTGTTCTAGTTGAATTTAAATATATCTCAAGATCTCTCTTTGTATTGTTAACGAATTTATTTCTGATACCACAAAGATAATAACATAAAAATACTAATTGCTTTGATACTTTTTCATCGTATCCTTATTCTTTGTTGACAGATTAGTTGATATATATAGTTCATCAAAAAAATGTTTCAATTGCCTGTTTCCTAATTCTATAAGTGCACAAAATTCTTCGAATTCCCAAATTAGTGGTAATAATTTACATTCCCTTTCATAGAGAATCTTTGTAATTATCTCTACAGCCTGTGAAAAAGACAAAATATCATTGTTAAAAGTTTTTAGCTCATTATGATGTTGTTCTAATGCATGTTGTTTAAATTCAAAAGATTTGTTAATAACAATTGCATTATAACAATTCAAGCATATAACATCATTTTCTTTAACATATTCAGGAAGCGTTTCACTGGCCTTTCTATAAGATATCACTATTTCAGTAATGGTTCACCATATTATTGACGTTTTTTTGCAAATTTTTATAACGCACAGTCCTTCGAATTTCTTTGTTCTAACCATAATTTTATTACTAAGTAAACACTCCTTAAATTAGAGATTATTAGAGATTAATTTTGAAAATAATATTTTAACGCTCTAACAAAGCTATTTGTAAAAAAAAATTTTTAATTGTGAAATCTTATTTTCCAAAAGTACTTTAAACTGTATAAATTCAATTAAAATCGATCGTCCAATTACGTAAACTTCTTCCTATAGCTATTATTTAAACTTTGTGTAATTGCAAGAGCCAATCAGTATTAACTTAATTATTAAGCAAATGGACAGATAGACATATGTGTAACCTAAGACCTTATACATATGTAATCTTACACTTTATTCTGAACTAATAATTTTATTCTTATCCATGCTAAAATTTTCACAATAAAATCGTATTGCTTTAAGAAAATAAAATCATGTGACCGTGTGAAAAAAATTCAACGCATTTTGTCTAAGAAAAAAATTTATTAATACATGCTAAAAATAAATATAAAGGATCGGGACTTTGCCTGTAATACATGATAAATTTCCATACTAAATAAAGATAGGATTCTAATTTGACTTGGTATCACAGATATCCTTTTTTGCAAGATTACTTAATAACTTATGCTTTTTTACTGCTTTTTCATTACCTATGGTAACATCTGAATCTGATTTCTGTACCTCTTTCAATAACCAAGCAATATGGCCTAGAACTCTTTCAACCATACCTTCTATATCTTTATTATTTTACACGACAACTACTGGTTTCAATAGTTTGAATTTTGGCATTTCTTGATTATTGAATGAACATTCTAAAAAATAGCATTTTTCTGCATCTATAATAATTTCAAATACCTTACTTATGTACATATTTCTTCCATCTCACTTGCCTTATGCTTATAGTTTGATAAAGCTATTCAAGTTATATGACATTCTGAGAAATACCCTTAAAAATCTTCATTCTTTACTTTTATTACACTAACAGTTTTAGCAGTTTGAAAAAAGTCTATTACAAAATTGACTGATTCATGCTCATTAGTCTTGTGATATTTTTTTCTTGTTAAAATTTAAATTTGCCTTCATATAGATTTTACCTAGTAATAAGATATGAATAAATAATATTATGATTTTAATATTTCATTTCCATTAATTGGAATAGACTTGAAATATGTTTCTAGTTTAGCTATTAAATGCTTAAATATTGCTTGAAAAAAATCATCTTTCAGATCTTTATACTTATAAGTGAAAGGCAAAATAAAAGATCATTTGATTTATCAAGTTCATAAAATTTATATACTTTGAAAAATGATTAATCTAAGAAAGCTTTTAAGAGGAACTTTATAATTATAATAAACTTAGAAATATCTTTTAATATAAGTATACAAAGAAATTTTATAGTAGTTTTATTAAATCAAGATAAATATTTTTTTTATTATTCATAAAGTTTTATTCTATTATTTTAAGTGTGAGTAATTGATACATTTTACATATACAGTTGTAGCAGAAAAAACTGACAATTTTTTTTATAACTTCATAATTTCATGAGTTTTGTGTATAGAGACATAAATTTAGTATCATTAGATTTATTTTAATAAGATGAATTTAGCTATAATTCATTTTCTATGATTATTAAATATAAAAATAATATCATAAAATGTCATATGTAATAAATGTCAATAAATGCTGCTAATTTATTTGGCATTTAATCTCATAATTATACAATCTTTACATTTAAAGATATGAATTTATTACCATTCAATTTATTTTAATGAGACGATTCTAATGAGCTATATTTTATTTTTATATGATCACTAGATACAGTATAATGTAGAAAAACGTATAAAAGATTATTAAAAAAAATATATTTTTTATATATACTTATTTTTCAAAATCTATTTTGAAATGCATAAAATTAGTGATAAAAAAATTATTATTGCATAATAGACTATTAAATAATTATTATGTCTTAAAGTATATATCACAAGATACAATATATTAAAATTTTAAGGTTTGTTAAATAAAATCACATGAGATATTCACTATCGTTTAATTGTCATTTTCGCAGAATTGTATAATCTTTGAAACTTTTAAAAAATATTTGCTTAATATTTATAGTCTACTTACTTGTCTTTTATTTTAGTCTAATAATAACATTAGAAAACTTTTTACAAAATCTCTCAAATACATTATATGTATTATTTATAAAGTTGTTAAATAATGCTTACAATGAAGTAATTTATTTAAATAATTCTTATTCATAATTTGAAGTGGCAATTTTCACAAGTAGTTTTATTAAGATATAAATATATTTTTAAGAAAATGAATCTGAAAAATATTTCAAAATCTTTTTTTATAGCTTGAGATTGTTAGTCTGAAATGAAATTAAGGTCTATATATAATTTAGTATTATAGTTATATATATATCTGTCTCTTTGTTCACTTAATAATTAAGTTGATACTGATTGGCCTTTGCAGTATAAATTTTTAGTTAAAATCATTTTGAACTTAACAATAGTTTTCATTTTCTAGTTTGTAAAAAATTATTGAATTCTAGTATTTTTTATTATCCAAAGCATAGCAAAGAAATATTATGTATACTTAAAACTATGTAATGCTTATTTGTCATTATGTGAAAATGCCTAATTAAATTTTAAAATCAGGTGTAATAATTAATATTTTGCATAATCAGATGATAATAATAAAAAAATTAGTATTATATTATTATATTAAATTATTTTTTATTTTTTTTTGTGATATTAAATGATATAAATACTTTAGACATACAATAATTTTTATTTTCTAGTTTAATAATATTTTTGAACTTACTAATAGATTTATTCACATATATTTTAATAAAGAAAGCATTTGTAGTTAATTATCTTTGATAAGACAAAAATAAAATGATAGACATAACAGTTTATATAATATTTTTTATAAAATTTTATTAATAAAAACTAGTGTATATAAAAATAAAAAGTAAAAAAGTTTATTTACGAAAAATACTAAATCTAATATATATGCTCTATAAAAAATTTGCATATATTTTTCATTATTTAATAAGTTATATACATTTTTTAAAATTCTATATTACATTTTCTTATATTATATAAGAAATTATTTTTTAGCATTTTTTATAAAAATAATATATAAGGGATTGTAAATTAATAATATATAGGAACTCGAATTGCAAAAGCTAGGGCTCAGACCAATCACGTGATTTTGAGATTTCACAATAATCATATGCCTATAGGTCTAGTCATTCAGCCCAATAAAAAATTTTATATAAAAATTCCATAAAAATATTAAGTTTTATAACGTATAACTTTTATGGAAAATCAGTATAATATATACGTTTTT